TCCACGTTCATCCTTTCCCCTCCTCCTTCTCCTTCTCCTTTGTTGAGTGGTGTGAACCTCACCGTGTCCTCCTCCTCCTCCTGGTTCCGTTCTGTTTTGTTCCTCATGTCCTCCAAGCGGCTCTGTTCCTGTCCCTCTCTCCTCTGTGTCTTGTGTCTTGTGTGTTGTTGGTGTTGGTGTTTGTGTTGTTGGTTGTTCCCCTCCTCTCCTGCTCTGTGGCGGCTCCCCCTTCCCTGAACTAAACCCTAAAACCCTAAAACCCTAAAACCCTAAAACCCTAAAACCTAAACCAGGAACACCAAGACAGAGCACCACGACCAGGACCACGACCACGACCACGACCACGACCAGGAGGAGGACCACGACCAGGGCGAGGACCAGGACGAGGACCAGGACCAGGACGAGGACGTATCCTACATTGACATTTACGAAACGATCCACACCACACGACACACGACACACGACACACGACACAGCTGGACGAGGGGGACCACAGGGGGCAGGATGACAGGAAAACAAATACAAAAACAAGGACAAGGACAAGAGAACGACTCGAGACTCCGGAGGGAGGAGGAGGAGAGGGGAGGGACCTAGCAACGACCAAGGGTGTGAACAACACGGAGAGGAACTTTGCACCTCGCTTGGCTTGGCTTGGCTTGCCTTTTCCCTTTCGGAGGGGGGGGAGGAATGAAAAACAAGAACAAGAACAAGAACAAGATGGGAGGGCTGCTGCCCACGACCACGAACAGGGGGCCACTCAGCAGCAGGAGGATCTCGCACTCGGGGAACAACAGGGATTGTAAACTATCGACAGGCCTGGCGAGGCATCGGCCTCACAACTCCCTTGGACGCTTCAGGTGCCAGCGTCAGCAGCGCTTCGTTGTCTTGTCCTCCATTCTGCTGTTCTCTTTCACTTTCTGGCTGCTCTTGTACACGCCGAGGTACGAGCTCGTGAACGAGATCAGCTTCGCGGTGAAGGACTTGAACGAGCTCGCGTACGGCACCGTCATCCGGCCGGCGTACTACAACCTGGTGGAGGTCTTCGACACCTGCACGGCGGTGGGCATGCAGGAGGTGGAGATCGTGGACAAGGGGACGGAGGTGATGGAGGGGGAGGGGCAGAGCTGGAACCACATCGATCAGTCCAGCGGGGACGCCTGCGCCTACCGCTTGACGAGGGGGGACCAGCTCCCCGTGCTCATGGCTGGCGGGGACGAGGGCGGGCGGGGCACGCTTGGGGCTGCTGGGGGCCTCGGCCTTCCCAAGATCTTCATCTTCGAGCCCGAGGTGAACGCGTACGCGCGCGAGGAGAGCCGGTGCGAGGAGCAGTTCTTCACCGAGGCTCTCCGGTCCAACGTCACGGGGACGTTGGTGTCTGAGGTGTGGCAGGCGGACCGGATCTACGTCAGCTTCCTCGCGCAGTGCTTTCCGAACGGGGACATGGACAAGGAGAAGCTGCTGCGGGACCGGAGGGAGAACCGGAACCACTTCACCAAGGACATGCCGCGCAGGAGGCTGGCCAAGGCCACGCCCCTGAACCTCCTATGGGAGGAGGTCAGGCACGCTGACGAGGTCCGCAATAGGCTGGAGGACACCTTCATTTACTCTGAGCGCCACTGGACCAAGCGGACCGGGTTCGCCACGCCAATCAGGGACGTGCTCAGGGACTTCCCCTTCACCATCCTGAGCCCGGAGGTGACCAACCTCCAGGTCCGGGAGGCGAAAAGCGCCGACAACTTGGAGTGGCTCTCCAAGCACATTGTGATGCCCCAGCCTCCCTTGGTCGCCTGGCCCCTCGAGGGCGCCGTGAGCCCCGAGGGCAGGCCGCACAAGTTCTGCTTCTCGGGGACGCAGATCAACAACGAGAGGAGGATCCTCTCGGATGCCTTGGAGAAGAGGAACGACTCCTCTGTGGTCGCGGGGTGCAGGAGGGACAGGAAAAGCTTGCAGCACCACTTGAGGAACAACAAGTACTCTGCTTCCCAGCAATACAGGAAGTGTGAGATGTGCCTCGTGCCCCACGGGGACAGCCTTTCGGACCGAAGGCTCTTCGACGCCATGGCCAGCGGGTGCGTGCCCGTGGTCACCCCGATCATGAGGCCACTCCCCTTCGCGATGACCGAAGAGGTGGACTACAAGAGCGCCGCCCTGTTCCTGAAAGAGCCAAAGACCTTGAACGACCTGGAGGAGCAGCTGAACAAGATAAAAAACGCGATGTCCCCAGAGAAGCTCGCGATGTACAGAGAGAACAGTGTCAGGATCGCCCAGAAGCTGAGCTTCTCGGAGTGTGGAGGCCAGGCGGGCCTGGTGCTCACCCTGAAGCAGCTGCAGATCCAGAGGGAGGAGAGGGAGAAAGGCATCCCTCCGCGGGACCTCACCTCGGTGCTCTTGTACTTTGATAACTCGGTGCTCTAGGTGTTCATCAGGAGTAACGGATGGCATTGCAGGAACAAGGTGGCGGGGGGTTTTGTGCTGTGGGCGGGGTGTTATCCCTTGTTCTTCATCTCGTCTCGAGGACACCATTATAATTGTTTCATTCATTCATTCATTCGTACACACATTCTTCGGTTCCGTAAGTCCAGGCAGGTCCTAACCCATCGTCGTTGTTGTAGAGCCTTGCTGCCTGGCCCTCCATCGATCGGGTGTTCCTGTTCCTGTTCCCCTCCTGGTCTGGTCCCTCCTCTCAGTCAGCTCCAGCCCAGCGCAGCGGGGAGGAAGAGGAAGAGGAAGAGGAGGAGAGGAGAACTCAGCAAGGCAGGCAGGATGACGGCGAAGAGGAAGGGGGAGGGGGCGGAGGCGGGACAGGGGAACGGGAACAAGAAGGGGAAGACGAAGGAAAACAACGAGAAGGTCGAGGCACTGGTGGACGTGGAGGTGGCGAGCGGCGGGGGGTGCGTCTGCGTTGCGGCGGGGGCGAAGCTCTTCGTGCTCCGCCAAGGGGAGCCTCGGTGGTGCGAGCTCCGAGGGGGGCAGGGCGGCGACGCCGCAGCGGTCAAGTGCTTGGCGGTGAGTCCGTGCGGTCGGTACGTCGCGTCGGCCGGGAACGACAAGAGCCTCAAGGTGTGGGCCGTGGTCCAAGGAGAGGAGGAAGGGAAATGCTTGTGGTCTGCGACCTTTCCCAAGAGGGTGAGCAGCCTGGCTTTCAGCGCGGACTCCGGGGTTGTCTTCGCCGGGGATAAGTTCGGGGACGTGAGGTGCCTCGCTGTGGAGAGCCCGAGGACGAAGGAGACGGACAAAGGGACGGAGATCGACCCGAGGAGGGTCTTGGGACACTTTTCCAGCATCATTACCTGCCTCTCCGTGTCGCCCTGCGGAAGGTACTTGGCGAGCGGGGACAGGGAGAGGAAGATCAGAGTGGGCTGCGTCCCCCCCTCCCCCGTGGAGTCGGGCGTTCACGAGATCCAGGCCTATTGCATAGGTCACTCCGCCTTTGTGACGGCCTTGTGTTTCGCGAGCAGCCGCTCTTTGATCTCGGCGTCTTGGGACGGGACGGTGAAGCTGTGGAGCTGCGAGGACGGCGCGGAGAAGGACAGCGTCCACCTCGGGGCGGGCTTCGGCGTGGACACCGCCTCGCCAATCTCGATGGCGCTCCTGGAAGAGAAGAGCATGGTGGCCGTGGCGACGGAGAAGAGGGGCGTGTGCCTCGTACAATACAGCGAGGAGGAGGGCAAGCTGAAACCCGTCCGGTGGATCGCTCCGCCGAGCATAGATTTCGTGCCCGTCTCCATCGCTGCGGGCGCCCGGGGTGATCTGTGGGTGGCCGGCTGCGAGGTCAAGCCCAACCACCTCGGCTCCGCGCCCTCGGAAAGGGGCTGGTACTCGGAGGAGGAGCTCAAGGCGATCCAAGGGGGCGGCGGGGAGGCCGGGTCGGATCCCGGGTCGGACCCCGGGTCGGTCCTGGCGGCCGTGTACACCCTGAGCACCGGGCCCGAGGCCAAGTACCTCGAGAAGCAGGAGGGCGTCTGGGGGGGGCCGGGCGCTCCGCCGGTGGTCCTGGTCGAGAACAGCAAGAGAGTGCGAGGCCTGCAGCTCGTGCCCTCCGAGCTCCACAAGCACGTCTACCCCCTGAGCGAGAGGGAGTACAGGAAGCGGCACCAGGCTTTCCGGGTCCACGGGGACAGGGGACTCAATTAAGTCACAAATCCATTAATAATCTATACACGCGGTAGTATACACAACAGCAACAACGACGACTACAACAACGACGACTCGTTGGTGATTCGTTCGCCTAGTTCGCTCAGACCAACGAGTCGATCTTGGAAACGATTGTTCTCGCGTCCTGCGGTTCGTACTTGTCGAAATCGGAGTCCTCCATCCTCGCTATTGCTTCCGCTATCGCTGCGGGCTCGACCTTGGCGTGGAGCAGGAGGTTCTTCCCCGCCAGGTGGTCCGCGAGCTCCTCCTGGTGGTTCACCATCAGCGCCGGGTTCGGCACGGCGATCACCCTCCTCCCCGCATTGAGCGCCTCGAAGAGCGACCCGGCCCCCGCGTGGCTTATCACGAGGTCGCTCTCGTCCATGTACGCCCCGAGGCTCGGGCACAGGTCGAAGTACAGGACTCTCAGCGCCGAGGGGCCCCGCGCTCCCGGCTCGAGCACCCGGGTCGGCTCGTACTCGCCCCTTCCTATCTGGAGGGTGAGGTTCGTGTACCCCGCCCTCACCAGGGCGTCCCTCACCTCCTCCGAGTCCACGCTCCGGATCAGGTCCTCGAACTTGGTCGTCCCCACCGTCACGAAGCACCTCTTTCCCCTGGTTCCCGTCTTGCCCTTGCCCTTGCACTTGTTCTTCTTGTTGTTGCTCTTGTTGTTGTTGGTGGTGGAGGGGTTCTTCTTGATCTTGGAGGGGTTCGACTTCCCCCTCGGTCTGCCTCTCCTCCCCCTGACCCCGCCGGTGGTTGCCACCATCGTGGCCTCCTCTCCTCTCGCTCCCTGCCGCGGTCTCGTCTATCAAGGGGTACAGCTGTATCTATAGTAGGAAATTGTTCATCTTTAACACTTTTTCGCTAAGATGCCCGAGCTGGTCCAAGGGGGACGACTTAAGCTAGAATTTCTACTCTGTATGAGATCGTCTGCACGCGCGTGCGCGTGGGTTCGAATCCCACTCTTAGCACCCCTTTTTTTTTGGTCGAAGGTCCTCTCGGGGTCCTCGTCGGGCGATGCGATGAGAAGAAGGAAGGTGGCGGAGACCAGGACGACGGCGATGGCGAGGTCTTCTTGCTCATCACAAAGCATTCCTTTTCTTTTCCCTTTCTTCTTTGCATCTTTCGTTTAATCCGGTGGTTTCACAGCAACTGGAAGAGGGCGACCGCCCCGACCAGGGCCATGAAGAATGCGCGGGTCCCGGGCGTCGCGGCGCTGCTGGAGGAGCCGTCCCCCTCGCCGAGCACGCCCCCGAGGGACTCGGTCGGGTTCCGGGAGTCGGCGCCGTCCGGGCCACCGGTGACGCCCACCCCGCCGTCCCCGAGGGGCTCGGCGACGACGCAGGCGAGCGCGCCTCCGCTCCAGCCGCACTTTCCCTCGCTCGTGACCTTGGCCTCACAGTCTGTTTCCGTCTTGTAGCTCTCGCACGTCACCGCGAGGACCCCAGCGCAAGCCGAGCAGGCCACGACGAGGACCAAGCCCAGCAGCGCTGCAGTTGCCAAACGACGAGGGGCTCCTCCTCGTGCACGGCCGCGGGCTGAACAGCGTCTCTCGCTCATCGTCCTGCTCCCCGTCAATCCTCAACCCTCCGTCCGTTCTCTTGGACTCCTGCCCTGCCTTGCTCATCCACTGACCACGAGGAGGAGGATGTCTTTGCCTTGTGTCAGTCGTCGGTGTGTCAGTCGTTGGTGTCGTTGAGGAAGCCTTCGAGTGCGAATAGAGTGGCGTGTATGCGTATGGTGTGCGTCTTTGTCTTTGTCTTTGTCTTTGTCTTTGTCTTTGTCTTTGTCTTTGTCCCCCAAAGTCTGCACGATTATTCTGTCGTAATGCAGTTTGTCTGTCTCGCGCCAATTTTCCCGCGGCCCGAGAGAAGGAGAACGAGGAGGAGGCGCCCCTCCTGGTGGAGACCGGGAACGAGAACGAGACAAACAAACACAAACGCAGGGGACAGGATGGACAACCTCCGCGGACAACAACAACAACAACAACAACAACAACAACAAGAACAAGGGATGAAAACAAACCTTTACCAAACCACCACCAGCAACAAGAGCAACAACACGAAGAGCAAGAACGAGGAGGTTCTCCTGGTGCCATGCAGGCCGGAGGTGCGGCTGGAGCTCCAAGTGAGGGTCAAGGACGCACTCGGACTCGGACTCGAGGACCGGGACCGGGTGGTGGTGGTGCGGCTGGAGTGCGACGACCACGGCGTCCCGACGGAGGCGGAGGCCAACGCGAAGAGGCTCAACTCCCTGTCGTGGTGCTGGAAGAACCACTTCATACCCAAGCGAGAGTTCGACCCTGTTTTTCACAACGTCGCTGAGGGGGGCGTCAAGGCGAAGGGGGGCAAGAGGCCCGGCATCGGGGGGTCCAGCTCCCCGCAGTCCCCCAAGGCAGGGGGAGACGGCAGGAGGGACCACCCCCACGCCGGCGTGTCCACCTCGAGCTCGAGGGAGGCCCTGGCCCACGACCTGGGGCTGGACCTCGAGAGCCTGAGCAGGATGCCCGTGGCGGACGTGGCCAGGGGGAGGGAGCGGGCCAGGAGGCTGTGCAACGCCATGTGGTCGGCCGCTGGCCTGGAGCCCAGGATGCTCGGCACGAAGAGGTTCGCCTTCGTGGGCGAGCAGAGGGCCATGAGGAAGGCGAGGGAGGAGAAGAAGGAGAGGGAGCTGCAGCAGCAGCAGAAGCAGAAGGCCCTAGCCGCCCAGAAGAAGAAGCAGCAGAGGAGCCAGGCGGCGAGCAGCAGGCAGGACAAGCAGAAGCAGGAGAAGGAGGCCGCGGCGAGCAAGGCCTCCAAGGCCGCGGGGGACGACAAGGCCTCCAAGGCCGCCGACAAGGTCAAGGTCGCCGCGGAGAGGAAGGCCGGCACCCCCGGGGGGTCTTCCAAGAAGGCGGGCGGCGTGTCCAGGGAGGGGAACAAGAGCCCCGCCCCTGGGGGTTCCGGCGACAAGGCCAAGGCGGACAAGGAGAAGAAGGCGAAGAAGGAGAAGAAGGGGGGCGGCGCGGCGACCCCCTCGGCGTCGGACAAGGCCAAGGGGAAGGCCAAGGCCAACGGGGGCGGGGACGCGGGGGAGGGGAAGCCCAACGCGGGCCCCGGCTCCGCCAAGGACGGGAGGGCCGAGCCGGCGGAGGCAAAGGAGGGCGGCGGGGGGGGCAACCCCGCCAAGGCCCAGGCCAAGGCCAGGAGAGAAAAGCCTGGGCTGGGCTCGGCCCAAAAGAAGGCGAAGACGGAGGCCGTGGAGGACGCCGGCAAGAAGGAGCTTCGGAGCAACCGGTCTGCGGCGAGGAAGGAGGCGTCCGAGGAGGCCGTCAAGAGGAGGGAGGCCAGCCCACGGAAGGCGGAGGGCAGCAAGGAGGGAGGGGGCTCCATGAGGAGGAGGGGCAGCGGCAGCTCTGCGGCGGATACCCCGAGCGCGTCCACGACTCCATCCCGGCCGACGAGGGCGGCCGCCCCCCCCGTGGGATCCCTCAAGGAGGGCGTGGGCGTGCGGAGCCCCTCCTCCAAGACGGGCGAATCTGCGGAGAAGAAGGACTTGAACCACCCGAAGCAGGAGGCGACTCCGAAGCCGAAACAGGAGGCGGCGGTAAAGGTCGAGCCCAGGGTTCCAGCAGTGGTGAAGGCCTCGCCTCCAAAGACTCCGCAGACCCCGTCCATCACCACAGCCATGGACGACGAGCAGATCGCCATGCTCCTGCACCAGGAACTGAACGCCCCGACCAGGAGGAGGAGGAGGGACACAGGGGGGAACACCCCTCAAAGCCCCTCCAACAAGAAGAGGAAACCTTCCCCCCTGAGCGGGTGATCCTCCCCAATAAAGCAAAGGGAAGGGAAGGGGAGACAAGACAAGACTTGTTGTCCTTGTTCATAACAACACGACGCCTTTGGGTTTCTTTTTGGGTATTGTTATTCCATATGATTCCATTTCTTCCTTGGCCTTGGCCTGAGCCAATCCTGCTTCGCTTTTCCCGCCACGAAAGCGACAGAGGACAAAGGCGAAGCGCCCACGGGCAACCGACGTCTTGCGCTGGCGAGGAGGGGAGGGGATGGACCCCACGACGAGCCAAGGACCCGAAGGCGTCCTCCGTATCGCGGACGTCGCGGAGGGAGGGACAGGGGACGACGGGGACGCCAAGAAGCTCCGCAAGTGGAGGAAGATGCTGGAGAGGGCGTCCACGCACAAGCAGTGGAAAGCGGCCCTCGCCGTGCCGGGGTTCAAGAAAAAGTTCACGATGAGGAACCGGAAGGGGGTGCCGGACGAGCTCAGGGGGATCGTGTGGCCCCTCGTTTCCGGGGGGCGGGAGCTTCTGTTGCAGAACCCCGGGGTCTACGAGAGGCTCATGCTGTACGAGAGCAGCAGCAGCGAGCTCGACATCGTTCGAGACCTCAACCGCACTTTCCCCGGCCACGTGTTTTACGCCCAGAGGCACGGACCGGGCCAGAGGTCCCTGTACAACGTGCTCAAGGCCTACAGCGTGTTCGACAGGAGCGTGGGGTATGTCCAGGGCATGGGTTTCGTCACGGGGGTTCTCCTGCTTTACATGTGCGAGGAGGACGCCTTCTGGACCCTGGTTGCGCTGCTGAAGGGGGCGAGCCACGTTCCCATGGAGGGCATGTACCAGGAGGGCTTGCCCCTCCTTCAGAAGTACCTGCACCACTTCGAGGGGCTCGTGGAGGCCTTCCTGCCCAAGCTCTCGGCGCACCTCACCCAGGAGAACATCGTGCCCACCATGTACTGCTCGCAGTGGTTCATCACCGTGTTCAGCTACACCCTGCCCTTCGACTGCCTCTTGAGGGTGTGGGACATCTTCATCCTGGAGGGGATGAGGACCGTGTTCGCCATCGGGCTCGAGCTCCTGAGGTGCGAGCAGGACCACCTGATGAAGTTGAAGTTCGAGAACCTCGTGCAGGCCTTGAGCAGGAAGAGGCACGACATACCCGCGGGGCACAAAACGGTGGACGACTTCCTGAGAAGGGCGATGACGTGGAAGCTGAAAGAGAAGTTGAGGGACCTGGACGACCAGTTCGACCTAATCATGTAACCCTTATTTTGTTCTTTGTGCCTTATGATAATATGCTGTAAGAAAACAAAATGAAAAGCACGTGTGTGAAAACGAAAACGATGAGAGAGAGTGTGTGCGTGTGGTCGTTCGTTTAAAAGTCCCACGGCGTCCTGAACTTCATTCCCGCGTAGGGGATCCCCAACTCCTCCTCGATTCTGAGGAGCTGGTTGTACTTGGCCAGCCTCTCGGATCTGCAGGGGGCTCCGGACTTGATGTGGCCCGCCCCGATGCCAACGGAGAGGTCGGCGATGAAGGAGTCCTCCGTCTCCCCGGACCTGTGGGACACGAAGACACCCCAGCCGTTCCGCCTGCACAGGGACCAGGCATCCAGGCTCTCCGTCACCGATCCGATTTGGTTCACCTTGAGGAGCATTGCATTCGTGGCCTTCGACTCCAGGCCCTTTTCCACCCTGCTGCAATTGGTGCAGTACAAGTCGTCGCCGACAATTTCGATGCGGTCCCCGACCTTGCTTGTGAGGGCAGCGTGCGACGCAAAGTCCTGAGAGAGAGGGGGGAGAGGGGAGCGAGTCAGTGCCAGTACCGCTGTCTGTCAATTGACGGGCGCGGCAAGGGAGCGACGAAAACAACTTACCTCCTCGTCGAAGGGATCCTCGAGGAGGACCATGGGAAAGTCGGAGCATATTTTCTCGTACAACTCCACCATCTCTGCGGCGCTCTTCTTCTCACCGCCGACTTGGGCGCTCTTGAACCCAAGGTCGTACGTTCCGTCCTTGAAGAACTCGGATGCCGCGGGGTCACTGCCGAGGAATATTTTCGTGGTGTGGCCTGCCCTCTCGATGGCCTTCATGAGAAGCCTCATCCCTTCTTCCGGGCTCGCGATGTTTGGGGCGAACCCGCCCTCGTCCCCCACGGCCGTGTCCCTCAGCCCGTACTCCTCCTGGATGACCT